TTTTGTTAATAACTTTAAACAAAGAATATAAGATTCAAATTCTTTTATTATTTTAACACAAAAAGAGTTGGCATACAACAAAAACAATGAATAAAAACATAAATAATATCAAAAATAACTTAACTGATATACCAATATTATTTATTATTCATGAAATATTATATTTTATTCTTGATTTAGAAATATTATATAAATTAATTTTCTTGTGTTGAGATACTTGATTATATTACCGTCATATTTAGAATATATTAAAACTAAAAATTACTTGTTGATTAAAAGTTGAATGAAAAAATCTTAAAATAAACTAAATTCAAATAACCAAATCATGAAATAATAATCAATCGTTTATTTAAATAATTTTTTTTTCATTTAAGTTATTAATCTTTGAACATTTTAATTACCCTATACACTTGAATAAAATTACATCCTTAACTAAAAATTATAATTAGCGTATAAATAAATTTCAGGGTTATAGAACCAACTTTCTTTTTTAATTAAAAACATAAAATGAAACATAAAGACAATATTGAATTTATGGTATTATTAAGAATATTAAATACAAATAAATTTTGAATTGTTAGAATGAAGTTTGAAATGAAAAATATAATGTGAAATGAAAGTTTTAAAGAAATCGTATAGAGTATTGTTATATTATTGAGTACTAATAAGATGAACAAATTAAACTTTGAATACTCACATAAGTTGTTTATATAAGACAAAGAATAAAAAGTAATTAATTAAGTATTGTTCCTAGCTCAAGGAAGACTAATTTTATATGATACAAAGAAAAAATATAAAAATAAAAAAGTAGTTAATTAAGTATTAATAGAACTTGTGTCTATTGTTCCTTGCTCAGGGGAGACTAATCCCGTCCCTGAGCTTAAATGTATTTGTTCTTCAACTTTTGGCTTATTCTTTGCTTCTAGTTGTTGAACTGTGAGAATTTTCTTTTCTCATTTTTGGTGTGGAATAGTGTATTTTAAACATCCCTTATTTAGATATTCATTATTTATTTTCTTTTTAATTTTGATGCGTTTAAATTTCTTCTTCTTTATTTTATTATTTTAAGGAGAATATATAATTACTACTGTATTGCTTTGGGCTAATATTCTTTTAGCCTCATCCACTTGACCCTTTTCTTTTGTTAATCTTTCTTATATTATCAAATAATACTTGTATCATAACAAGTAATAATAACATCTTTATAAATACCCATTCTTTTATTGTCAATGATATTCTGTCATTGTACATAATAAACACTGCTATTCTTGCAGTACCGGGTAAGATGTTTTTCTAACCAAACGCAACGTCATAACCAGTCCATAACTGGGGGAATCGAAGGATGGAAATATTTTAGGGTTCTGTGTGGTGTCTTTGACGTGCTACCTTCGAATCCGATACAAAGAAAAAATATAAAAATAAAAAGATAAAATAAAAAATTGTAATGAATCAAGCGATGATTCTAAGATTGGGAAGAGCTTCATTGATAATATTCATAACATCAATAGTGAATGTTGGAATATCTTTAACGACAAGAATACGTAATGAATTACTTCCAGTGATACCAAATAATTCATTGTTTCCAAATTTACAATCTTTTAAAGCAATAATATCTAAGCGAGTTAAACTATTTAAAGAACTCACAAAGACAAGAGAATTAGATGATGGGATTGAATTTAAAATAACTTCATGTAATTGAGGTAAATGACAGATGTCACACAAACAAAAGTCATTACAATTTTCAATAGTAAGTCTCATGATTGATTGAGGAGTTTTCTCCAAATTCTTTAAACAAGGAATAGTATTCAATGAAAGAGAAAGAAGAGAATGAAAAGAAGAAAGAATAGATACATCAAATTCTTTAATCATTCCAATTGAAAGAGACATGAGAGAAAGAGTAGAAAGTGATTGAAGAATAGAAAGTTGATCAAAAGGAATTTTAGTTAATTCAAGTGAAGTTAAAACACTACATTTATTCAAAAAATCAAATGATTTGATTTTAAGACATTGAGAAATAGTTAATGAACGTAAAGATTCTAATTCAAAAGAATTTAATGCAATATTAGAAATATTAGGACATGAAGTAATACTTAAACTTTTAACTATACACATAGAATTAATAAGAGGTAATACTTTATCTAATTGAGAGGTATTTCTCCAAAAAGTCATAGAATCTATTTCACCAGAACAATGTTTAGAAATTTTTTCTATTGGTTCAAAAGATTTAAAAGCTTCAAAATCATGATTAAATGATGAAATTGATAATTTAAAAATAGATGGCATCTTAAAATAAGTAGCTAAATCTAATGGTGAAGTAATTGATGATTTAACACGTAAAAATACAGTTTTTAAATGACGTAATTTAGTTAAAAATATTAACTTAGGAGCATTAGAGATATTAACTTCAAGAAGATCTAAAATATGAAGATTCTTAATACTAGTTAATTCACTTAAAGAATTTAATTGTTTAATAGAATCAGCAATAATTTTCATTGAAGTTAAACCAAGTAATACAGAAAGAGAATTAAAAGGATTAATTCCATTATTATCTTCAGTAATTTTAACAATACTTTGAGCTCCAAAATTAATTGTTAAAGATTGAAGTGATTGAAATTTAGTAATAATTGGAATAATACGAGGAATTAAACGAACGTGTAATGATTGAAGATGTTGTAATGAAGTTAAATATAATAATGAAGGATCAGTTGGAGGAAAAGAATATTGAAGTTTAGTTAAAGATGTTTGTAATCCAAGTAATTGATTAATATGTTTAAATTCAGCCATTGTATTACATTCAATACCATTTAAAATTAATTTTTTTAAATTATATTTTTGTATTAATTTACTAACTTGAAATGATTTAAAATTTCCTAATAATATTAATTCATTACAACTATTAGGTAATGTTTCATTTTCATAGTCTCCATAAATTGTTAAAGTATTAACTTTTTTCATTTTAAGCATTGTTTTATTAATTATCATTAAATCTCCTTTTTCTTCAATAACTTTTTGATATCTTTTATTAATTGCAATAAAAGAAAGATAATACTGTGGTGGTAAATATCTAAATATTGTTTGAATATTACTATCACTAATCATTCTTTTTTAATTCTTGTTAAGTTCAGTTCAACTTTTTTACTTTAATAGAACTTATAATTGATACTAACGTTAAATATTCCCAAAAAAAAATAATATTTATCTTAATTTCTGTTCATAAAAGAAAAATAAATTTTTAAAAACTTAACAAAATAAGACCCACTACTTTTTCTTTCAATTAATTATCTTCTGTTCTTAAATGAACTTAATAAGAGATGGTTTATAGAATGATGGTTGTTCAAATCCAAGAAGATTAATATAAGTAGCAGTAACATTAGCTAATCCTGGGTGTTCTACTGATTCATCAATAATATATTCTCCTTTATAATCATAATCTCTAATGAACAAATTAACTGGATTACATGTATGTGAAGTCATAGGTTTTCCAAGTTTATCAAGCATAGTTTCTACATTACCATGATCAGCTGTAACTAATAAAATTCCTTTTTGTTTTCTAACTTCTTCATCAAGTCTTTTTAAACATTCATCACAAGTTAAAACAGCTTTAATTCCAGATTGAATATTTCCAGTATGCCCTACCATATCTGGATTAGCAAAATTAACTCTTAAATATTTATATTCTTTACTTTCAAGAACTTCAATCAATCTATCACAAACTTCTTTAGCTTTCATTTCTGGATGACTTTCAGTAAGATCATTTGGAAGAGATTTAATTTGTTCATATTTTTCTAATTTATCATCAAAGTATCCTGATTTATTTCCATTCCAGAAATATGTTACATGTCCATATTTATGTGTTTCTGCAATTGCAAAACATTTAACTCCACTCTTAACTAAATACTCACTTGATACTCCTTTAATATCTGGTGGTGCACATAAATATTGTGGTGGAACATGATTATCTGAATCATATTCAAGAAGTCCTGCATATCTAAGTTTTGGTGTATAAACTCTATCAAATGCTTTAAATTCTTCTCCTTGATAAAATGCTTTACTAATTTCAATTGCTCTATCTCCTCTGAAATTAAAATTAATAACTGCATCTCCATCAACCATTTTTCCAATTGGTTTTCCTTCTTCATCAACAATAACAAATGCTGGATTAAATTGGTCAAGTTTTTCTGGGAATAATTTTCTTGCTAATTCAATTGCTTCTTTTGCTGAATGATAATATCCTGTATATTCTGGTGTAATATCTCCTTCTGGTACAATTCCTCTAACATGTGCTTTCCATCCTCTTTCAACCATACTCCAATCAGCTTCATATCTATCCATAGTCATATGCATTCTTCCTCCTCCAGATGCTATTTTTGCATCAATACCAGCTGCTTGAAGTTGAGCTAATTTCTTTTCTAATTTATCAATATACATTAATCCTGAATCTGGTGCTACATCTCTTCCATCTAATAATGGATGAACTCTAATTTTCTTTCCTCCACATTTAACTACTCCATCCATCATTTGGAATAATTGTGTAGTATTTGAATGTACATTTCCATCACTTAAAAGTCCAATAAAATGAACAGTTTTTCCTTCTTTAACTGCTGCTCCAACAACATTTTTCCAATTCTCTGTTTCAAAGAACTTTCCTGATTCAATACTTTCTTCAACTAATTTAGTTCCTTGTGAATAAATTTGTCCTGCTCCAAGTGCATTATGTCCTACTTCTGAATTTCCCATATCAGCTTCTGTTGGAAGTCCTACATATGGTCCATTAGCTTTAATTATTGTGTGAAGATGTTGTTCTTTAGCTTCTGCAAGAAGTTTATTATAATATGATGGATTAGCTAATGTAACACAATTTCCTGGTCCTTCTTTATCAATTCCAAATCCATCGAGAATACAAACAACAACTGGTCCTTGTCTTGGTTGTAATTTAGTGTTTGGTTTAAGTCCTTCCATTCTTCTTAGATGTTATATTTCTAAGTTAAAGTTCTCTTTATTTAAATACTCTTTGATGACATGGCAAGGGTTTTAATTGGTTTTCCTTATTTTGTATTCATCTCTTCTAAACTTTATCTTCTTGACCTATGAAAACCCACGACTTTAACTTCATCTAGTTGAAAAAAAAGAACCGATTTTTCTTTGATGAAAGACTTGGCACCTCTTATTCTTTTGTTACCAAAACTCTTCTTGGGTTTTAATCCTTAAAATAAACAAATTGTTTTAGAAATTTTATAGAAAAGATATCAATAAGAAAACTGATCTAAAACAAATCTTATTTTTATAATAATTTAATTATTTATTTAATTTATTAACTTTGAGTTTTTTTAATCTTAAAAAATAATGAAAAAAAGTTTCATCATTTTTAATACTGATTAATTATCCCAAAATTCTCATCTCAGATAATGACAAGACCTTCTTTTCAAAAAACACCCAAACCAAAAGAGAATAAAACCAACTAAAACCTTTATTATTTAATTTTAATTGATAACTGAGGTTATTGTTTTAAATAAAAAATGTCCAATTAGTCATCACAGTTTATTTATTATTTTGAAGAGAACAAATATCAAAAGAATGGTTATTTTAAAATAAAAATTACAAAATCAGAATTGATTAAAACAAAAAAAATCAATAACAAATGAAGGAAAATAAAAAGATAATTGAAATTAGGAGGATAAATTATTATCTGTTCCAGTGAGTAACATTATATACACTGTTATTTTAGAAGCATAAAGAAAAGATATCAAATGAGTATACATAAAAACTTTTAAATAAAATAAAAATGTCTAAAGTTCCACAAAATAAAAACAAATAGATTAATTGTTTCAATAATTTCATTATTAATATATTATTAATTCATTAAAATATTATCTCATTTTATGATAATTCAATAAAAGGTTCATATCTTAATATCATTTAGTTAAAACTATGGCTTTAAATACTATAACAAATTTTGTAGTATCGTCTCATCTGTAAATCAGTTTATGTGTAAATTCAAAATACAAAATATGAAAATTATATTAAATTCTTTTGAAATAGTTTTTATTTTATTATTATAATTTTAAATACAAACCAAAAAACTAGAGTTTGGTTTCAATTATCAAATAGAACTAAGAATTTTTCTTTAAAATGAGTATAATTAACCACAGAGAAAATGAAGAGATAGAAAAAGGGTTTACATCTTCCATTGACAAGAATGGTGATGAACAAAATAGCCAAATAAAAGAAGACCAACCAATGGCTGTTGATTCAAATAAAATTAAAATTGAAACTATTCCAGTTATTGATGACTCATTGAAAAAAAGAAGAAACATTAAATTATTGGATAAAGTGACATTTGTAATGTCATTTGGTATAGTTTTATTAACAGAATATATTATGTTACGAAGAGCAGAATTAATACCAATTTTATATTTAATGTTATTAATTCCATTAGTAACAGCTCGATTTCTTGTGTATCGAATGTCTAAATGGCAATTCTTTTTATTAGATTTTTGTTATTACACTAATGCAGGAGTAATTACAACATTAATATCTATTTATTGTTTTAATAGTGTATCACCACTATTTGAAATTATGTTTGTTAATTGTGCTGGACCTTTATTAATGGCAATTATATTATGGACAAACAGTTTTGTTTTTCATGACCTTACTAAATTAACTTCTATTGTTATTCATTTCTTCCCTAATTTAGTTCTTTACTACCTTCGATGGAAAAGTTCATTCCCAATTCCAGACCACCTTACTTTTCTTACTGGATTTGTTTATCCATTAATCTTTTATATCTCATGGCAAGTTATTTATGTCATTATCACAGAAGTGATTTATAAAGATAAAATTTATAACGGAGGTTATATGACTTCTCTTCGTTGGTTGTGCCAAATTAAACCACATATGCTTCACCAATTTGTTACTAAAAAATTAGGATTATTTAAAGACTCTCCTTTGAATGTCATGATTTGGACTCAATTAGTTTATACTATAGTAACTTATATCCCTGTCTTTTTGTTTTACAATTACAGATGGTTACATAGAACATGGATGATTTTCGTATTGTTATGGGCTTCATACAATGGTGCTAACTTTTATTTAGAAATCTTTATTAAGAAATATGATACTTATTTGCAACGTTTCTCACCAGAAAAAGATCGAGACACACCAAAGTAGAAGAAGTATTTTATTGAATTGTTTGACTCTTAGTTCTTATGGTTTGTTTTGTCTTTCTATCAGAAAAGAATTTAAAAGGAATTGTTATTAGTCCTCTAATATGAAGAGATACCAATATTTTCTGTTTAAATTTAATGAACTTGGATGCTAATTTACTTTAACTTTTTTACTTGTACAAAATAATACTTCAGATTCCTTGTTCTTGTCACTATTATACTACCACTTGTACAATTCCTTTCAGTTGAACATTCCTTTGAACCAGAATATATCTTGTTTCACTAAAAAAATACTGTTCTTTTATTACAACATTATTGTTATTACTTGAGTATGAGAAAATGAATAAATCCTATTTAAATTCTTTTAAAGTAAATTCTAAAGAATTAAGGTACTAATCATTTCAAACTTTATTTTTACAACCAATTCTCTTTAAGGGTACATTTGTAATTAAAGAAATAATTCAAAAGAGTGATTTTACATAGTTTAACGATAATTTAATCTCTTAGTCTCAATAACAATAGTGAAATAAATTGACAATATTATCTTCATCTAGTATCAAATCTTGTAAATATCATCTAATTATTCAATCAAAATATCATTATCAAAACCTCACTCTTCGATATGATGAAGCAAATAAAATATTAACTCAAGACCATTGTTCATTCATGGTGTAGCACCTAATCTACTAAAATAACCAAATGAAAAGTGATTATTACAATATCTATCAACTGATAAAACATTTTCACTAAAAACTATAAAAGAATAATCGTTTAATATACTGTTATTTCATCCTGTACAAACATAACACAAAATTAAAATATTTTTATAACATAGTATCTGTTTATGTTTGTGTTAACAAACATGTTAATGTAACATATATTCTTTAAATTTAATTAACAATAAATTCTAGCATTCTATATATTATAAAATTCAAATATATTATCAAAAAAATTCTTACTTGTAATGGAACTAAACTTTTAATATTTGATGTACTTTCCATCTCCTCTTATTTTTATCTTTATAAGCTATAAAAGAACTTCAGATAATATTCACCAACAAGAACCTATATCAACTTATTCGATACCTTAATTCAAAACTAAGAAAAACAAATGATTTATATACCAGAAGAAGGTTATGAAGAATAAAATAATGTTCACTTGTTTAATAATATACTGTTCGATAGTGATTAAACTTAAATCATAATGTTCAATATTCAACAATATTAGAATTTTCTTCTTTTAAATATAGAATAAAGTATTATTTATTTGAATACAATTTGAATAAATGATGAATATCATTTTTATCTGAGACTAAAAAATGAATCAGAAATTGTTGAAATTTTAAAAGTTGATAAAATGCAATTCATTGTCCTTTTTTTGATAAAACAAAATCATTTCTCTAATTATCAACTCTTCTGTTTCATCATTAAGACCACCAAAAACAGTTAATAAAAGAATTAACATATTTAAGTAATGACTTTTACAAAAAGGGGACATTTTTTCTGATAAAAAAAAAGATTATTGAATAACAACTTTTTTCAAACAGAAAGAAACAATCGTATTGTTACTTACTACTAACTGTAAATTGGTTAAATGGTTCAATTCATAACAAAACAATTTGGATATACAACATCATTAATCTATAAATAAATTCAAAATTTCGGTGATAAATATAGAAATTGTTCTATAAATAAAGTAGAATGAAAAGAATGAAAAAGAAATGTAAATTAACTAGAGGAATTCTTATTAGAACCAGAAATTGAATTACTTTTAGAATATATCTATGTAAAACAAAAATAAATAAATAAATATCAAGACAAATTGGTAGAAAAAGAGGAAAGTGGATTTAATGGATATATGGAATAAAGATAATTTCATTGTTTATAATAGAGTTCATTAATAGAAAATAAAGAAGAATCTATAAAAGAAGATTTAAGTAGTTTGCACTAATCTAAAACTATAAAAGAATGTAATGGAACAATTTAAACTAGAAGATAAAAGAACTTATTTCACTTAAATAGAAAAATAATGAGTTGTGGATCTAATACTAAACTAACATTAACTGAAATCAAAAGACAATCAAAATCATTTGAAGCCCTTCAACAAGGTATGCTATTTGCACTTCTAAGTAATTATGGATATGGATTTCGATTAAAAAGACCAGAACGTATGGCTAAAAAGACACTCCAATATCTTACAATTAACGAAGTATATTATAATGGACTTCCTTTACGATTTGGATACTCTATTGAAGATTTTTGTGAAAGAAAATATCAAATGGAACAACGAACAGAAATGACAACAAGTCAATTAAAAGTAGTTAAAAGAAGAAAAGATTTGAATAGAACTGCTATTTCTTTTAGTTGGTTAATTCAACTTGCAGAACAGAATGGAATTTCTTTTGGAAAAAGAAAAACTAAACAAGCAAAGAAAACAATTCAATTAGAAAAAATAAAAACAGTTGTATTACCAAATAATTTAGGTTCTTATTCCAGAGAACAAATTAATAAAATTGGTAAAGCAGTACAAAAACACATTTGTAGTTTATTTGATAAAAAAGAAAAGTTACTTACTATCACTCCTTATCATCAATTCTTTATTAATGCCCTTAATTTAAATGTTCAACAACCATCTACATCTACATCTTTTGGTTCACCAAAAACACAAATCGTTCATGAACATGTTAGTGTTAAACCTGATTCTTTTGTTCTTAAGTTAGACTATGATCCTATCTACCAAGATCCTTCTTTTGTCTATACTTACGATTATTAAATTTGTGATTAAAAACAAATTATTAATTGTAATTTTATTAAATTAACTTTTTTTATTATTTAAAATAACCCTAATTAGGGCTTGTAATAACAAAATAATAAAGAGAAAAAAGAGTTTCATCTTGTTTTGTTAAGAGTTTTTATTTGTAATGTTTTAAATAATAAATCAATCAATTCACATCATTGCATTTGTCATTAAAATAAATTGATGTCCTTTAACAACCACCCTAGAAAGAACTATGAGACTTCTCTTAAATTCTTATAATATCAATTAAATTAAAAGATGAGTAAATTTAATCAAAAATTATTTTTTTATGAGGATATATCCTATTGCTACTCTAGTTAACTTTTACAGTTTTGTTTTTTAACTCTTTTTCGGGAATATACCTCTACTCAAAATTTAATTTTTTTGTATTTGCTTTTTACCTTTCTCATTGGCAATCATTTCATTTGTGAATCGTCACAGTTATATGACTTATAGTCTAAAAAGAAAAAACGTTAATTAATAAAAGGATTGAAAAATAAAGTCTCAGTAATAAGAAAAAATTCAACGTAAAATTCATTTAAGCAATATCATGATATTCAGACCCTTTCTTCTTTCTCATAACAAAGAAAACAATAATGGCAATGACAATGATAACTAACAAGAGAAGAAGAATACCACAAATAATTCCACCAACAATATAGTAGATGGTATTACTTTTCTCATCACTACTATCTTTAGAGTCAGTACTAGAAGTATTAGAATTATTTGAATTACTTGAACATTGTGAATCATTAGGTACAGTAGAACTATTTGAACTTGAAGACTCTTCAGAACTATTAGAATCATCAGAATAACTAGAATCATCAGAATAACTAGAATCATCAGAATAATTAGAGTCATCAGGAAATTCAATACAATGACCTTTGGTATTAGGAGCAAATCCAGTTATATTCTTTGGAATATATTGTTTAGTGTTTTCATCATAAATCTTCTCTTCACTTAAATAAGCACATTCATAACACATATCATCTCCAGCAGGAATAACACAAATAATTGGTCCACACCACTTTCCTTGTGGTTTAGATCCATCAACACAAACCTCACACTCGTCTTTGTTGTTTGGACAAGACTTACAAAAGGCATCATTACATTTCTTATTATCTTTATCACACACATCAGGTTCACCATAACACTGAGAAGTACATTCGCTAGAACATTTACCACAAGTAAAATCTTCTTTCATGAAATAGCCAGATTTACATGATACACAAACAAGGTCTTTAGTTTCGTTATTTATTTGTTTTGTTAGGTAACTTTCACAACCTTCTATCTTCTCTATGCATGCAACTGGGTTATTTGAATCAAGAACAAACCCAATAGAACATTGGATACATTCTCCAACCTCATTCCAAGAAGAACAGTTTAAAGATTTATATGTGCAATAGTTATTAGTAGCAACAGTCTCAAACACACACCAATGATTGTCTTTAGAACATTCTTCTTTAGAAGTAGCTTGTTCATTACAATAGTAATTAATTACTTATAGAGTTAGTTGTTTTAAACATCTGGTAAAATAACGTGAAAAGAATAAAATAACAAACAATAACACTGGTTATCTTCTCCCAACTCATACCCTTCTAAACATTCTTGACAAGTGTTATTATTTTCTCTTTTACATCCAATTTGATTTTGAATGCATTGACCTTCCTCTAAATGATAATTGTCTGAACATTCAACACAAATCCCAATAGAACTTTGAACATTACATCCTTCCATTTTATAATTTTCATCAGAAACACAAAGTTTCTTTTCAGTATCAAAAACATATCCAATGTAACATTGTTTACACCCAGTAAGTTCATTATTTTCAATACTGTAAAAAGCACAATTCTCAATACTAGCATCTATAAATTATCAGCGTTTATTCCGATTTAAATAATTTATTCAATAACAAACTGACACACTCATTTCCATTATTAGTTAAATAATATCCACCAAAACATGTTAAGCAAGTTGAATTACCTGTTTCTGTAGTTTTATATTCCATACAATGTTCAATTGGTTGAGCACATGTTCCATTAACAACACCATAAGATGATTTACATTTTATACATTTATTACATGAACCATCAAAAAGAATACAATAAGGATTAGTTTCACATTGAATACACTTACCTTTTTCTAAAAGGAATCCATCATTGCAAGTACTGCAAGAGCCATCATCAGTTGAATAACGAGAACAGTTATCATTTCCTTCTATTTATGGGTTAATTCAATTTCTTTCTTTGAAATGGTAATATTGATATAAAACAAACCAATACAACTCTTTGTTGTATTATCCCATTGATATCCCTTGTTACAAATTTCACAATAACCAGCCATAGTATTATAACAATTCTTTCCTTTTGGAGCTTTAATTGTAAATAATATATTTCCAAGTTAAAATAGCTTAGAAAAAAAAACAAACATGAACACGTTCCATTGTCTTCTAAGATGTATTGGTCAATGCAATACATACAAATATCAGGATCATCATAATTACATCCACTACAATATGCACTTGTACATCTTACATCAGAATAACCAAGGCAACAAGAAATGAAGGCAACCAAGAGCACTATCATTTTATCTACTTGTTATTATTATTTCTTAGATTAATGGATGATTTCCTATTACCTTATTGACCTATATCTTGATTTTTCCTTTATAATAATTCGTTTTTTCTTAAAAGTATTAAATTCTTTATCTTCTTTATTCTTGTACTTTTATTAATTGATTAATCATTGAAAAAATTTAATTCAAATAATTAAATATTTTTTTGAAATTTCATGAGAAAGAGTAAACTTTTCTGAGGAATTTTCTATAACTAAAAAATAATTACTAATTTGGTTTAGAAAAAGAATAAAATATTCAATTACTCTTAACTTGCTTTATTGCACAACACTATTTTAACATTGAACTGAACTTAAACAAATACTGACTGCTTATGAATGTCTTGGTTGGTTCTATTCAATCATAACATATTTTTCATAAAAATATAGTCAGACATCCTAACATCACCTCTTAAATCTTTCTTCTGAAATTTCTTTCATTAGATTAATTCAAGTTGTTCATTGTACACTTGTTTCCAAATGTTTGTCTCCCGTTGGTGTTGTTGGTTATTCAATCTTCATCCTATTGTCTTGTTGTTAATTTTAAGACGGATAATGGATTGACTGTACTATAGAAATGATCCTAAGAGTACGGTCTACTTTTTAATTTCCTTTTTATTTTTCTCTATTTGTTATTTATTCATTTATTAATTATGGTTTATTTTTAGGGTTTTCATTTTATTTCTAATTTATTTTAAACAATTCTTCTTATTATTTTTATTTTCATATTATATCTATTATTGTCACATGTTCAATTTTTTTTAATTCTTTTATAAAACAGCATACTTATAATATGGTTGAGAGTTATATTAATAGATAAATAAACACAATGAAAATATAACATTTTACACAACAAATATTCATTGGTTATTATATCGTTTGTTAGTAGATTAAATAATTGTATTAACTGATTTTCATATTATCAGACTTGTTTTGTTCAATAAATTTATTTATTTTTACACTATTACTTGAATAAAATTGATTATATTTTCAATTTATGATATTTTTATAGAATATTTAATGTCAACATATCATAGTATTATTAATTCGTTATCATTTGATTAATTTTCATTACTCTTATTATATTAAACATTTACTCATCAATTTGTATTATATGAGAATTTGTTAGGTAAGGAAAAAAAATAATATTAAAAACATTCAATTTGAACTTCCAAAATAATAATTTTGTTAATAGAAATACAAAGACTATCCTAGCTAACATTAATAAATATGTATTAGCGTATTTTATAATATTATTTCACACATGAAATACTCTAACAACTCACTTAGTATTAAATAATAGAAAACCAACTTTAATATAAAATATAGTTAAATACAATTATAATATCTATTTTTTTCTTAAAATTGAATATAATAACACTAATGATAATGCCACATCTAGATATTTTTAATTCAC